AGTTCTCATTTTCATTATATATGTAACTCAGCGTACATTGATAGGGCTTTTTCTAAATATTCTATGAGTAAATTATCATTATAAAGTCAAACAGAACATACGAACATGTTCTGCATTTATACGAGAATACATTAACTGGTTTCAGCAATGAATCAAATAAAACTCCAGAAGTTATAGTGACACATAGAATTATGTACATAATCATAGACTTTTAGAGTTATAAGGGGTCTTACAGGTCATCTAGTCCAACCTCCTCAATTTACTATTGAGGAAACTGAGGCTTGGAAAGGCAACTGCTGCCCGTGGTATCACCATAAGTCAAGGATGTGATCCAGGCTTGTGCCAACACCGTCTCTAAGGTCAAAACCTCTACCATGATCCACTGCCATTACAAGCCTTCACAATGATTAGGAAAAAAAACTGTACCACTATCTAAATTATAAATTACTGTAAATCACATGACTTTAATACAGCTAAACTCAGAAAGTTATGGCCAGCTGAGGACAGCATTTGGGAAGACAGAAGCTGTGATACAGAAACATTTACTGAACTTCCTATGTAATGACAGTTCTTCATTTAGTCTTCAGAGAATCCCAAAGGAGATGCACATTACCATTCACAGTTTACAGATGACATAACTGAGACTCAAAAGCCTCAATAGCAGAACTTCATCTAAAACCCTTTAATCTATAATCCAGGAATATAGCTCTGGGCTGTTCCTATAGTTAAGTCCCTTCACCATTACCAGCTCCTACAATAAAAGCACAGGATAAGTTTGGTCTAGAGCAAGGTGGTCATTTCCCTTATACTCAATGGCCCTCTTTTGTTGAAAGCAGAAATCTGCACTAGAATCACTGAATGAGGTATATGGGTATATGTATGTGAAGGAGCGAAAGCAGAGTGACTCTCAGGCAGCCAGTGAATCAATAACACTAACATTCATTAGTTTCTAAGAAGAGATTTCCACACTGTTGTGATCTTTCCTTCATCGCCCTGTTTCCTTTTTAACCAAACACCAGATCTGACATTCACTTGGTTTCTTCTTCATGTGACTCTCCCAGATATGTCATTTCCACAAAGTACTGGATTTGTGTTATCAACCCTGCTTCCAAAGCTTTCTTGCTGACCATTTGGATAGGCCACTTAACAAACTCCTGAAACAAAGAGTTGTAAAGGTACGTAGAGACCATCAAGTCCATTTCCACATTTTAATTATGCAGAAACTGATTTCCAGACAGGTAATACAGCCAGTCAAAGACAAAGCTGGAACTTGAGGTAAAGTTCTGACTCAGATTGAATATTCTTCTCACTTACAACATACATGATTGTGTGATTGGCCTGAAAAGAATAAATGTATATCATTTATTTGAGCCAAGGATATTAATTACTTCAAGCCAATACCATCTTGTTTTTTTAATAACAAGATGAAAACAAAATTGGGAAATCAAGAGATAGAAAGCAGCATAGGGTGGCGAAAAAGCTACACAGGCTTCATATGAGATAGATCTAAATTTGATTTCAGCTCCCTAATTTACTAGCTGTGTTACCTTGGGCAGGTTGCTCAACTTTTTGGAAGTTGTAACTGCCTCAGTTCTAAGAATTAAATGCAGTGGTATATAAAAAGCACCTACATATGGTAGGTGCTCAGTAAATATTGGTTCCCATTAATTCTAACCTGCCACAAAAGAGCTGTGCCACTTCTAGAAAATTTCTTTAGTTCTTTGGGTCTCAGTTGCCTTGACTATAAAATGAGAAGATGAAACCAAATGAATTCCAAATTCCCTTTCAGCTTATCAAGAAAGATTCAATTCCCAAAGGAACTAAACTTCATTTAAATTCAAAAAGCACTTAAGTAAATTCTTACCCATCCTAGGCACTAAACAATTCTAACCACCACCAGAGAGGTGTCTATGTATTCAGCAGAATGGGATGCAACTCCATAGGACCTTTAATTCCACAAAGAAAAATTATTATGCAAACCAAAGAGCTCCAACTTTAAGGAAAACTCTATAAAGACATCACAAACCTAATGTTATAGATAAAAAGATTTTAGGATATACCTTAAATTACTTCTCTCTCTTTTTTGGTAGAATTCTATTCTATTTTGTAGAATTTTAGAATACATATCTTAGATGATTAAATATCAACAACAAAAAAATCTTTTCCTTTCATGATATGAAGAAACAGAAAAAGCTCACTTAAACAGTACCTCAAATATGTGAAATTAATCTTTTTTAAAAAGTCAGCAGCCATGTTCTATGAGCTAATCTTTTCTTTTGTCCTAAAAGATGATAGAGAATAAAGTATGTCCCCAACATAGTTTGTTTCCAGAGGTCCAGAGAGCCACAGAAATGTGCTTTAGATATATGCATATCAAGCATAGTGTACACCAGAGGCAGATGGCCTGGATCCCATTTCTATTGTTGCTACAAACTTGATATGTGATTTGTGAACAAGTCACTTCACCTTTCTAGTTCTGGTTCTTCGTCTATGAAACAACAGGTGAAACTATCTGATCCCTGTAAGATTGTCTTCCAGTTCCTATAATTAACATCTGTGCGAATTCTCAATACAGTATGTGAGGGGCACAGGACACAGGGGCAAAGCACTCACAGGAGAGCGTTTATTCTGCTTTTTGTGATGTTGCTGAGACCAGCCAGCTTCTGTAGAGAGCCAGACACTAAATGGCTGGCTTTGTGCCTGGGTTGAAGAATACCATCAATGGCTATGAAGGCATTTAAAGAAACAAAGTATTTTCTGGACATGGTAAAAAATAAATAAATAATAATTAGGGGCATGTGAGCCCTGAGAACCTCAGACCCTTTGTGGCCTCAGCCTTTCATCTTGGGTGGCAGACGGCACTGGGTTCAGTCAGGCAACCTATATTTTCTGATCCTAATCCTTAAGATAAGTGATTCTGAAAATGAATTGTTTTTATCCCCAGCTCCATATCTGACCCTTGAAAATACATACATTTTGTGCAGCAGCTACATTGTATGCAGCATGCCTGGGACACCTGCATAAAACAGAGTTAGCATCTTGGTATTTACAGTATGAAGTATGAAGTGGGCTTAAATCCTGGCTATATTATTTAACTGCTGTGCAATCTTAGGCAAGAAGCTTAACCTCTCTGTGCTTCAGATTCCTTTCCCGTAGAATAGAGAAACTAGTAAAACCTAACTCATAGGGTTGTTGGGAGGGTTAATCAAGACGATGCATGCAAAGCAGTTAGCACAGAGCCTGACATCAATCAAGTAAATGTTACATAGAATAGCTGGCTTGCCAGCTAGGCATACATAGATCTTGGGACTTGGAGGTCCCTAAAAAGGCTCATCTAAAGTCCACAGATGTTTTGCTGGCAGTGAATGGCATCTACTGATTTTTCCTCTTCTGGGCAAACAATATGGCCAAGATTCAAAGCTGGGCTCAGCTCTTACTAATAGGATCCTGCAGGAATAAGGAGGAAATGAGATTATCTTGAAAGTAGGAAAGAGTTACTCTGGTTTAAGACAAGACCTTTATAAGAGACAGAAACACACACACACATTTAATATGGTCTTGCAGAATCTGAGAAAAGGGGCTGTTTTTCATTCATGCCTTTTCAAGTATTGCCAGCATTAAAAGCTACAGAATTTTATAGCTGGATGGCTCCCTAGAGACTATCTAGTTCAGCTCTGTCACTTGATAGCTAAGTAGCTGAGGCCCAGAGAAATTAAGCAACTAGCTGGAGGTCATTCGACAATAAATGGCAGTGCCAAGGCAAACAAGCCTTTGGACTTTCCCCACTTGCCCACCCAGTACTTGATCTGGATCTGGCATCTTTCAGCAGATCAGCATCCTGTCCTTGCTGTACACACACACACACACACACACACACACACACACACAAAGGTTTCTTACTTCTGCTCAGGTTTTTTAAAAGAACAGAAGCAACCTCTTGGCCCCCATACTTTCTACCCAGAGCCTCCCATCATGAGACTAGGGGAGGATCCCAGTCAGTCTCCCAAACCCTGTTTGGAGTTCCTACTCTGCTTTCTGGTCCTTCCTCACATCCTCTCTTAACAGCTGCTTCTAGAAATTCCTCACCTCAAAGGTCAGGCACTTTCCAGGGCTGAAGTTACCACCTGCTAATTTGTAAATTCTTAGCTTCCGCAAATGCTATAACTTGAGACAGGAAACAAAACTGTTTAAGTTTCCTTCAAGCTCCCTGAGTGAATTCAACCAGAACTGATTTACTCCCTTGCCAAGAAAACTAAGTTCATTTATGAAGTGTGTGAGTGTGTGAAGGGCTGGAGCCCTTAGGTATGCCTAACACGGGGAACAGGAGGGAAAAAGCACCAAGGAGGTGACGATGTTGCAGGGGAGGGTAGAGGGAGCACACTGACCAAATTGCAAAGTCTGGATCTTGGAGACAGCTAGACTGCTGAGACTGACTCACTGCTTAGGGACAGAACTGCCCGGGGGATAGCACCGTTTTAATTATACACTCTGGGAACTGACTAACAACAGACCAGTGCCCAAACTACACGTGTAGGAAGCAGACAGAGGCTACCCTAAAGTGGCAGAAATAAGGAACTCTCTTCCTCTCACTCCCATTTCTCATCTCTCATCTGATGCTCGCCACTCTGTGTCTGGCGGGCACACCCCAGCTCACCAAGTTCTGTCGCATCGCCCCTGATGGGGAACGCCCCTCCCCGCTATCCGGAGAGATGGAGGGAAGCATAAAGCTGCCGAAGTCTGTGCTCTACCAAGTGCTCCCGAGTCCCTCGCCCTGCGGGAAGCTGATCGTTGGAGAGAAAGGCTGTCGCTGAGTGTCTGAAGCTGACAGGCGTGGGGCGCTTCTCACCCCTAAGCTCCTGCACCCACATGGGGCGCCCCTAAACCCGGATCTCAGCTCTGAGGGTGAGAAGCGTGCCACAGCTGAGTGTTCCTTCCCCACAGGCGCGCCCACCCGCAAAACCGAAAGGAAGGCTTTGCTTTTGCCTTTTTTCCCTCCCTACCTGAATTCCGGGACCAGATTAGGCTGCAACCCGTAGAAGGCAGAGGAAAGAGTAACCAGCCACCCAGGCTTGTAACTCCCATTCTCGCACTCCAGGTAAGGCGGAGACCACTTGACATGGCTCCTGTCCCCGCCGAGCCCGTCCCTGCGCCGCCAGCTATGGCTCAGGCCCCGGGGCCCCTGATTGGAGCCGCGGCGGTTTAAGTGGGGCCTCCATTTGCGCCGGAGCCCGTGGAACCACTCGGTCTCCAGCGTGGTATTGGCCAGGTGGTGTGCGGAGAAGGACAGGTCTTGGAGCAGTATGCGACTCTCGTCCCGCGTGGCCTGGAGGAAGACCTGTGGGGCCGGCGCGGACAGCGACTCGGTGCTGAAGGTGATGGCCGCCCGGGAGATGCTGGGCTCGCCCTCCAGGAGGCTCCGCACCAGCGCCTGGTACCACTCCAGGTCATCCTGCAAGTTCTGTTCCCGCGACTTATTGCTCTGCAGCATCATGTTGAGGAAGTTGGTGGCGTGTGTCAGTGTGTCCAGCGCCCCGTGCAAGGAAGGGTGAGCGCTGGCGAGCGCTGGCGACTTCCCGGGCAGGCCAACCAATTCGTAGCGTCCGGAGCAGTTGGCTCGCGTCAGCTGCTGGGAGTCCCCGGTGTAGAGGTAAGAGGCCACGTCCACGGGCACCTCCTCGGCGAGTTTCTGCGCTAAGATGGTGCCATCGCTGGAGCGGCTCCAGGGCGCCGAGGGGTCCGAGGCAGAGGCTCGAGCCGGCTGCTGGGCGTGCTGCTTCCCCCGCAGAGTCCTCTCTCGAGGGGAGTCCGGCCGAGGGTCGCGGCTGGCGCCGACAGCTCCCAATCCCAGGTGAGCGAGCAGGAGGCAGAGCAGCAGGGGGTAAGCCATGGCCCCTGTCTGTCTCGCAGAGAGGAGAGGAGGTGCGCGGAGTCACTTTTTCAATGCCGATCCTCAATTTCTCAGCCGTAAGACTTTCACTAAAGAGTCTTCCCCTTCTCCAGATGGCACCCGGTCCAGAAGGACTTTAAAGCAGGAGTGCTTCGCAGTTGGCCCGCTCGCTAAGCTACGGTCACGGGAAACCAGATCACCTGTGGCAGTGCTGGCGGTGCCCGCGGCACAGCGGGCCGGCCGGGACTGCGCACCGCGGAGCCCGGGGCGGAGCGGGTCGCATCCCGCGCTCCCGGCGCTATAGTTAGCCGCCTTACGTCTGCCTGCTCCGCGCCGCCGCCGCGCTCATTGAGGTGTGCTCGGGAGCTGCCGCCGGCGCGGCCGCCCGAGACGCGGCTCCATCATCTCGCCGCCGCAGGTCGTTCCCGCCTCCCGCGGTGGCTCCTCCTCGGCCGCTTCGCCGCGGGCGCCGAGCGCGAGCCCCGCACCGCGGCGCGGGAGCCGGTCGGTCCCAGGAGCCGAGCGTCTCCACGACGCCGGCGGCCCCGGAGCCGGGGGCCGGGCAGCGCGTTCGCGGGGGCCTCCTGCTCCGGCCACGGCACGCTCCTGCCTCCGCGGCTCCCGGAGGAAAGCCAGTTTAAAGAGACAGCTTGGCCGCAACCGAACCCGTGCAGGGCGGCCTCAAGCCGTCCTGCTCCCTGTTTGGTCGGCTCCCCTGTCACTCAGCCGCTGCCATTTGCCGGCCGCGGGCGCTGTCCAGTGCTGAACCCGAGGCGCCGCGGGGCGGGGGCGGCGCGCGCGAGGCGGCCGCGTCCTGTCACCCGCTCGCGTTCCCTGGCGACTCGGAAGCCTGCGGGGGTGGGCGGGGTGGGCGGCAGCGAGGGCGAAGCCGAGATACTGTGCCTCGGAGCGGAGGAAACTTGGACGCACTGAGGAGGAGGGTGTTGGCGTCTTGCATGCCTAGCTGCCAGCCTTTTCCTTCGCCTGGAAAAGAGGGAGAAGGGAGTAGTTTTCATTTCTCTCTGAAATCTGGGAGGAGGGACGTAGGATGGAGACGTGTCCTCCTGAGCATCTGCTCGTTTTAAGCAAATTGTCAAATCTTCTTCCTTGTTGTCAGTTAAAGAAATGATTAAAGCCCACTTGCTGGGGCTGGTCTTAGCTCTGAGGGAGTGATGGAGACATCCACCAGCTGAGCTTGGGTGGGGGCAGGGAGATGCCATATTTAAGGAATCTCTGCTTGGGGGCCAGAATGAAGAGGAATCTGTAAAAATGTGCCCAAGTAAAAGTGCATAAGGGAGAGAACAGGTAAAAAGGGCAAGAGTGGTTGGACTGTGAGAGAATGAGTATGAGCCTGAGTTGAGTGAGAAGGGAAGTCATTCTGAATGGGAGTTCCTGGAATTGAGAGGTAAGAACTGAGACTTCTGGTTAGCTATAGGGAAGGCTATCCCAGCAGAAGAAAGAAGAGCTGAATAAATATGCCAAGCCCTCCAAATTATTAGGAAACCCTTAACACAGTCTAATTTTGTATTGGAAGTTTATTAAAGAATTTAAGAGTATCTTCTGACACTTCGATTCCCAACTAACAATAAAAATGTCCCTCATGGCATTCTAAGCTAGCAACACTTAGACCATACCATTCTCCCTATTGAGAAAATACTTAAGCACTGGAATGTCAGATTCAAAAGAACAAAAATCTTTGTCTGCATTGGTCACTGTAGTATCTTGAGCACCTGGAACACTACCTGGCACATGGTAGGTTTTCTCTAAATAGTTGCTAAATTAGTGAATGAGCCTGAAGATTATGATGATGACGCTAATTAGTTAAAATTCCATGTCCTCACCCAAGAGGAGAAGTCTGCCTGATGTGCCAGTGATGAGGGCTTTGGAAGAAGACATAGCAACCAGTTTTCTAAACTGCAGTGCAAGGTCTCCAAGCAACTTTTTATAGCTATGCAAAGAATGGTTATTAGATTTCTATTTACTTATCAGTAGATTTCGTGTTCATATCCGATTTTTTGTTTAAATTTTGCTTTGCAGTGTATGCTCTTATGCTAAGTAAAGGTCATCCTAGTTTAATGCTCTACTATAGAATATGTGGCAATAATAACAGAAGGAGTTTCTGTTTATTTAATGCATCAAAGTACACATTATAATTTTCCATTTAAGCATCTAAAGACTGATGTGTAATTTCCTCATCAATTGATCTTTTCGGAAAATCTATATAACTTGTTAATAATTTTTTAAAATTTTCTAATACTTAACTTTGAAAGGAAGATATAATTTTATTAGTAGGTCCTTCTATAAATAATTCAATGACTCAGCATAATCCAAAGACCTGGGTTCTGGTCTTACCTTTGTTTTAAAGAAAGATACATGATCGCTGGCAAGGCATTTAAAGTTTCTGTGTCTTGAGACACAAACCGTATCTGGGCCTCAGGATTTGATATTGAAATTGTACTGGTAAGACACCTGAGCCACTCTCCCAGGGTACCCATCCTTCCCCTGTGCATATCTAATGAGAAAAGAGAAGACTATGAGATACTCTTGCAAATTTAGCATTCCCTTCAATGAATCTCCTTCAGCCTACATTGCCAAACTACTGGGAGGATCTAGTTGGGTCCAGAACAGCACTGTCCAATAGAAATACAATGTAAGCCATAAATGTGATCCATACAAAAATTTTAAATGTTCCAGTAGCACATTAAAAAAATACAAAGGAAAAGATTAAAATTAATTTTAATAATATATTTATTTAGCTCAAAGTGTCCAAATTGTTGTTATTAATATTTCAATAAGTAAATAATATAAAAATTGTTGATATATTTTACATTTTTGATACCAAGTCAAACTCCTATGTGTATTTCACACTCACAGCACATAGCACTTCCCATTAGCCATGTTTCAAGTGCTCAGTAGCCACCTGTGGCCAGAGGCTACCATTGATTGCAAGATGTAGAAGTCAGTGCATTGTGATCCAGAATGCTCTAGAAAACCTAGGTCCACTCAAGATAAGGCACCCAGGTTGAACCTGGTCCATTTAATAGATCTGCAGTCAAGGTAACTAAGTCGATAGACAATATTATTTAGTGTCCATAAATAAAGGAAATAATCTAAAAGACATTCTTATAAGGAACCAAGATTTAACACACACACATCTGTCCATACAGACTACAAAATTCCACACTGTCTTGTATAAAGTATATCATTTGTTAAACCAATATTCGTTGAGCCTGTGGGGACCAAGGCCGTTGGCCCCCTAAAAGTTTGCTGAAAAATCAACTCACAATAAGGCAGACTAATAAGAGAAAGGGATTACAAATTTATTAACTGTGCACATGGGGAGAATCACAGAGTGTTTGCCCAATTTCCCAGTGTGATCCAGAAGCTTATAGACCCTCTTGAGGTTACAGAGGGAATGGGGGCTTGGATCCTGGTAAAATAGGTTATGGAAGGAGGGGGAAAGGAATTCTATTGAGGGGCAATAAATGATTAAGGGGAGAATGATTAGATCAGGAAACAGATTTTAACTTGTAAATAGTTTTCTTGGAATTTAAATGATCCTTGGAGACAATCCTTATCTTGTAAAGGGATCTGCTCGGGTGTGGTTACATTCTTGGTCTTCTTTCCTGTAATGGAGGATGAGACAACAGGCGGGAGAACGAGGATTATTGTTCCCCTTAATGGGTCTGTCTTGTCTTTATGTAGTTAGGAGAAAAGTCTCTTCCAAAGCCTGCTGATCTCTAAGGGTTTTTAAATCAAAATACTCTTTATACCAGGGAGCCATATTTTGGGATGAAATTCCCTGTGCTCCTTCAAGCTTCTACTATATATCAGGCACTGTGCTTGGTGCTGGGGCAATATAGGCACATCTTCTACCTACTTAGCCCTTAGAGCCAAGTAGGGGGAGAGAGAGAATTGCATATTGTGGTAAGTATTATACCCTAAAGAAATAAACACTGTGAAGTGACGAAGAATGCAAGGTATGGGGGAGAGAGCTTCTTGTAAAAAGAGATCAAGAAAGACTCTATGAGGAGATGACAATTGAGCTAAAACCTCAAGAATGAGTGGTAATTACCTAGATAGTAGATTGCAGGAAACTAGCTAAGTGTAAGATGTGAAGAAACTTGCCTTAGGCAGAGGGAGTTGGATGTGAATGCACTAAGACTACAAATATTCTGTCCTTAGCAGGAAAATGGGATAGAAGAAAATAACTTCTATAAGCTGAAGTTCATATGTAATATAAAAAGTATAATTGAGACGAATGGAAAATCATTTTATAAGATAATCAATACAAGTAAGCCTGAGATGAATGTCCCCCTCTCCCCAATTATGTGAACATACTTTGTAGATGTAGTAAATATCCCTGTGCGTGCTTCAAAATTAAGAACTAAGTTGTCTAAATGCACATTTGTACCATGTAGGAGCTTGAACAGAACAATAGATACAAGACCTATAGTCCCTGTGTGAAAAGCTCAAGCATGTTTTTATCACAACCTGAAAAGCCAATCTAATTGCTTTAGAACAGTAAAATTTGCACTGACAATAAAGCAATATGTAATGGAGTTTTGAGTTACTAATAGTCTTTATATGATTGATTTATGATTGTTATAAAAGGAAGATTTGCTGAGACCAGAGCAGTATAGGTAGAATTATTTTTTACAAAAATGTAAATACTGTTTTAAATCATAAGCCAAGATTAAGACGGTGGGACATGGGGAAACATACTACATTGTTAGTTGGGAGACCCAGGTCTAATTGGTTCTGTCATTTTCTAATCATGGGACTTTTGACAATTTCTTCAACCTCTCTGAGCCATTTTGCTTCATCTGTTATACAAGAGTCATGTATCAGATACAGAATCCACAACTGGAACAATTACAGCTGAGTGTGGATAATGGTCTAAGTGTATTTCCCAGGAACTCATTGTTCTTGATATTCTTAGATTTTAAGGTAAATGTTATTTTTAAATTAAATAATGATGATAATGATGGATCTCAGTAAACAGAGTGACACAACACCAGGCAAACTCCTGATAAAGCAAATAAAACTACAGACAGCATAGTCTTTTAAAATAACACAAAATCAGAAATCCAGTTGTTATTCCTGGCCTTACTGAGATTCTGGGTTTCCCTAAGCATACGCTATCACTGAGTCTCATGTGCCCATTTACAAAATGAAGATTACAGACTTTGTTATCCAAGAGTAGTGGTCTTGACATTTCCGGATGCAGAGGTAGCACTAGAAAATTCTGACCTGTGTGGATGTGGGTGGGACTTTAGAATCTGCATTCCCAGGTAATAGAAATGATGTGTGGAACACATGCTGAGAAATACCGCCTTGAGCCAGGGAAAGTAACTCTAA